GCAGCAAAAGCAAGCGGTTCGAACAGTCATCATCCACCGCTCCACCAACGCCGCCACCTCCTCCTCCGCCCTCATCAATACTCAACTCCCTATTCAAAAACGGAGGCAAAAGCAGACGTTTCAGCAAAAACGCCATCACAGGTCCACCACCGGCCCCTCCACCACCACCACCACCAGAACCACCGCGTCGCCGCCAGATCAACACAGGAAAGCCTCCCCTTCCCACAAAACCTAGCGCACAGTACCACGAAAGCACAACCATCGCTCCGCCGTCGCCGCTGATCCCACTGCCACCACCTCCGCCGCCATTCAGAATGAAAGCAACCAAATTCATCGCACAAGGAGACTTCGTGAGGATCCACAGCGAGAATAGCTCCCGCTGCAGCTCGCCGGAGCCAGAAGACGCAGATGACGTCATGTCAGTCAAATCCGCCGACGGTATTGATTCAACCGGCGGGGGGCCCACAATCACTTGCCCTAGCCCCGACGTAAACACCAAGGCCGACAATTTCATAGCTCGCCTCCGAGATGAGTGGAGGCTTGAGAAGATGCACTCCATGAAAGATAAACGAATCTGACCCGACCCGACCCGACCCGGCCCGAACCCGAACCCGTAAACCAACAAGATTCAGTGGAGGCTTTTTTTTTTGTTTTTTTTTTTTCCTACATTAATTTTGTTTTTTGATCAATTTTCTTTTTTTTTTTACACACAAAGAAAATCATGATTACCAACATATGGTAAAAAAAAAAATAAAAAAAAAAAAAAAGTAGAGATTGTAGACGTGAAGTTTGGACAAAGATCAAATGATGTGTCGTGGCTCCATTTCTGTTTTTCGATTTTAACTGGAGCCATTCCAACTGTAGAGGATTAATTAGGGATTTTGATACTATATAATATATATACATATTACTATTATTATTACTACTAAGTTTGGATTGTTTCAGTTTGTCTGAATCTCTCAAGTGTACTTTATGTACAGCGCAGTGTATTTATATATCATGTAATGAGTTGAAAAGTGATTTTTGGAATATTTTCGTTTATATTTAGTTGATAATTATGTATAGTAGAAAAAAAAGGATTATTGTGAAATGTTGCAAATAATTGTTAAGACAAATTAAATTAATGGCAAGTAGTTGGTTACAAGGTTTAATAACTGTGAATGAATTTCAATGGTCTATGCATTGATATTTGATACGATAAGTAGTTTTCATGAAATTGTGTGGACAGGTGGTTTAAAGAAGGCAATAAAACAATATGAAGTGGACTTCATAACACACCAAAATTATGTTTGGACCCCTCAACGGCTCAACCTCTTCTCTTTTTTTATTTTTTCCTATCATATTTAGGGAAATTTATTTTTATTTAAACCTATATATTTTGTAAGTTGTAACAAATGTCAACAAGCGGGGATAGCTCAGTTGGGAGAGCGTCAGACTGAAGATCTGAAGGTCGCGTGTTCGATCCACGCTCACCGCATTTTTGGTAATTATAATTTTTTTTTTGGAGCATTAGTGTATTATTAGAGAGTTAATATGTTTAGGTCCCTCCTTCCAAACTTAATTAGAACTAAATTACAACCTCAAACTAATTTTTTTAAATACACACCTATTTTAAAATAAAAATATGACCCACATCCTTTTATTTTTTTTAATTCATAATTTGCCCTTATACCCTAAATATAACCTCTATTGTACGATTCTTCAAATCAGATCTGAATCTCTTTTTTCAATTCTCTCTCTTTCTCTCTCTCTCTCTCTCTCTCTCTCTCTCTCTCTCTCTCTCTCTCTCTCTCTCTCTCTCTCTCTCTCTCTCTCTCTCTCTCTCTCTCTCTCTCTCTCTCTCTCTCTCTCTCTCAATTAGGGTGGGATGGTTATGGAGACTATATTGTTAATTGACTGGTCACCGAGGTATTTTCCAGATCGGATCTTGATGTGGGCAGCGGAGGTTATGGTTGTTGGTGGCGGCGGCGGTGGTTCTAGATGCTGATGGCGGCGGCGGTGGTTCTAGATGCTGGTGGCGGCGGCGGTGGTTGTGGATGCTGGTGGCAGCGACGATGGTTCTGATTGTTGGTGATGGCGGCGGTTCTGATTGTTGGTGGTGGCGGCGCTCAGGGCTGGTGATAGTGTCGGTGGTGCTCGACTTTGGGGGAGGGGGTGGCGGCGATTCTGATTGTTGGTGGTGGCGGCGCAGGGCTGGTGATAGTGTCGTGGTGCTCGACTTTGGGGGGAGGGGGTGGCATCTTTAGTGACGTGGTGATGTTAGAGTCGCAGATCTAGGGTTTGGTGGAGGAGATCTACGGTTTGGTGGAGCGAATCTAAATTTTTTCGATTTCATGTCTATAGATGTCTATGGGTATCTATGGGTATCTATGGTGTCTGGCGGCTAGGGTTCGAAGGAAGAATTAGGGTTTTAAGAATACGTGACTACGGATTACTACAGTTTTCTATGGT